CCGGGAAGGCCCCAGAGCAGCCAGGCACAGAGCCAGCCCTGGGGGCCGGGAAGGGGGCGTTAGTGGGGATACACGGACCCTCCAGATGCCTCTCTCCAGCAGTGACTCCCCCGCCAATAAACAGCAGGCTCCCCACAAACAGCCCCCTTCTTCCCTGCCCAGTGGGAGCACATCACCCCCTGCCCCCATGACCTATGGGGGGTGCAAGGCCAGGATAGGCAATGAGCTCCCTGTGAGCAATGGGTCAGTCTGCTCCCCCCCCAAGCAATGGATCCGTCTGTCCTATTACCCTCACCCCCTCCCTGTGAGCAATGGGTCAGTCTGCTCCCCCCCCAAGCAATGGATCCGTCTGTCCTATTACCCTCACCCCCTCCCTGTGAGCAATGGGTCAGTCTGCTCCCCCCCCAAGCAATGGATCCGTCTGTCCTATTACCCTCACCCCCTCCCTGTGAGCAATGGGTCAGTCTGCTCCCCCCCCAAGCAATGGATCCGTCTGTCCTATTACCCTCACCCCCTCCCTGTGAGCAATGGGTCAGTCTGCTCCCCCCCCAAGCAATGGATCCGTCTGTCCTATTACCCTCACCCCCTCCCTGTGAGCAATGGGTCAGTCTGCTCCCCCCCCAAGCAATGGATCCGTCTGTCCTATTACCCTCACCCCCTCCCTGTGAGCAATGGGTCAGTCTGCTCCCCCCCCAAGCAATGGATCCGTCTGTCCTATTACCCTCACCCCCTCCCTGTGAGCAATGGGTCAGTCTGCTCCCCCCCCAAGCAATGGATCCGTCTGTCCTATTACCCTCACCCCCTCCCTGTGAGCAATGGGTCAGTCTGCTCCCCCCCCAAGCAATGGATCCGTCTGTCCTATTACCCTCACCCCCTCCCTGTGAGCAATGGGTCAGTCTGCTCCCCCCCCAAGCAATGGATCCGTCTGTCCTATTACCCTCACCCCCTCCCTGTGAGCAATGGGTCAGTCTGCTCCCCCCCCAAGCAATGGATCCGTCTGTCCTATTACCCTCACCCCCTCCCTGTGAGCAATGGGTCAGTCTGCTCCCCCCCCAAGCAATGGATCCGTCTGTCCTATTACCCTCACCCCCTCCCTGTGAGCAATGGGTCAGTCTGCTCCCCCCCCAAGCAATGGATCCGTCTGTCCTATTACCCTCACCCCCTCCCTGTGAGCAATGGGTCAGTCTGCTCCCCCCCCAAGCAATGGATCCGTCTGTCCTATTACCCTCACCCCCTCCCTGTGAGCAATGGGTCAGTCTGCTCCCCCCCCAAGCAATGGATCCGTCTGTCCTATTACCCTCACCCCCTCCCTGTGAGCAATGGGTCAGTCTGCTCCCCCCCCAAGCAATGGATCCGTCTGTCCTATTACCCTCACCCCCTCCCTGTGAGCAATGGGTCAGTCTGCTCCCCCCCCAAGCAATGGATCCGTCTGTCCTATTACCCTCACCCCCTCCCTGTGAGCAATGGGTCAGTCTGCTCCCCCCCCAAGCAATGGATCCGTCTGTCCTATTACCCTCACCCCCTCCCTGTGAGCAATGGGTCAGTCTGCTCCCCCCCCAAGCAATGGATCCGTCTGTCCTATTACCCTCACCCCCTCCCTGTGAGCAATGGGTCAGTCTGCTCCCCCCCCAAGCAATGGATCCGTCTGTCCTATTACCCTCACCCCCTCCCTGTGAGCAATGGGTCAGTCTGCTCCCCCCCCAAGCAATGGATCCGTCTGTCCTATTACCCTCACCCCCTCCCTGTGAGCAATGGGTCAGTCTGCTCCCCCCCCAAGCAATGGATCCGTCTGTCCTATTACCCTCACCCCCTCCCTGTGAGCAATGGGTCAGTCTGCTCCCCCCCCAAGCAATGGATCCGTCTGTCCTATTACCCTCACCCCCTCCCTGTGAGCAATGGGTCAGTCTGCTCCCCCCCCAAGCAATGGATCCGTCTGTCCTATTACCCTCACCCCCTCCCTGTGAGCAATGGGTCAGTCTGCTCCCCCCCCAAGCAATGGATCCGTCTGTCCTATTACCCTCACCCCCTCCCTGTGAGCAATGGGTCAGTCTGCTCCCCCCCCAAGCAATGGATCCGTCTGTCCTATTACCCTCACCCCCTCCCTGTGAGCAATGGGTCAGTCTGCTCCCCCCCCAAGCAATGGATCCGTCTGTCCTATTACCCTCACCCCCTCCCTGTGAGCAATGGGTCAGTCTGCTCCCCCCCCAAGCAATGGATCCGTCTGTCCTATTACCCTCACCCCCTCCCTGTGAGCAATGGGTCAGTCTGCTCCCCCCCCAAGCAATGGATCCGTCTGTCCTATTACCCTCACCCCCTCCCTGTGAGCAATGGGTCAGTCTGCTCCCCCCCCAAGCAATGGATCCGTCTGTCCTATTACCCTCACCCCCTCCCTGTGAGCAATGGGTCAGTCTGCTCCCCCCCCAAGCAATGGATCCGTCTGTCCTATTACCCTCACCCCCTCCCTGTGAGCAATGGGTCAGTCTGCTCCCCCCCCAAGCAATGGATCCGTCTGTCCTATTACCCTCACCCCCTCCCTGTGAGCAATGGGTCAGTCTGCTCCCCCCCCAAGCAATGGATCCGTCTGTCCTATTACCCTCACCCCCTCCCTGTGAGCAATGGGTCAGTCTGCTCCCCCCCCAAGCAATGGATCCGTCTGTCCTATTACCCTCACCCCCTCCCTGTGAGCAATGGGTCAGTCTGCTCCCCCCCCAAGCAATGGATCCGTCTGTCCTATTACCCTCACCCCCTCCCTGTGAGCAATGGGTCAGTCTGCTCCCCCCCCAAGCAATGGATCCGTCTGTCCTATTACCCTCACCCCCTCCCTGTGAGCAATGGGTCAGTCTGCTCCCCCCCCAAGCAATGGATCCGTCTGTCCTATTACCCTCACCCCCTCCCTGTGAGCAATGGGTCAGTCTGCTCCCCCCCCAAGCAATGGATCCGTCTGTCCTATTACCCTCACCCCCTCCCTGTGAGCAATGGGTCAGTCTGCTCCCCCCCCAAGCAATGGATCCGTCTGTCCTATTACCCTCACCCCCTCCCTGTGAGCAATGGGTCAGTCTGCTCCCCCCCCAAGCAATGGATCCGTCTGTCCTATTACCCTCACCCCCTCCCTGTGAGCAATGGGTCAGTCTGCTCCCCCCCCAAGCAATGGATCCGTCTGTCCTATTACCCTCACCCCCTCCCTGTGAGCAATGGGTCAGTCTGCTCCCCCCCCAAGCAATGGATCCGTCTGTCCTATTACCCTCACCCCCTCCCTGTGAGCAATGGGTCAGTCTGCTCCCCCCCCAAGCAATGGATCCGTCTGTCCTATTACCCTCACCCCCTCCCTGTGAGCAATGGGTCAGTCTGCTCCCC